GAACGTCACGGGGGTTGGGTTAAGGACCGACTCAAGGCCGAGATTGAGTCGGGGTCGGCCCTCCCCGCCACGCTGGACGAGCTCGACGAGCTGATGTCAGAACTGGTCGCCCATAAAAACCGATTCTGGCATCGCGGAGGGTTCTCGCCCCTCCAGCTGGTTTTCGGAGAGAACCCCAGGCTTCCCCACGACCTGCTGTCCGACGACAGTAGGGGGCTCCCAGGATGGCAAGATGTGGTGCGCTCCCCTATGGAGCAGGACGAGGCTGGTGCCGAGTTTGCTAGGTCCCAGAAGATTCGAGATGCGGCGCGTCGTCTTGCCATCGAGGTGACCTCTCAGGATCAGGTCAGCCGAGCCTCCCGGGCCAGGACCGTGACGACCAGGACCTTCTCTCCGGGCCAGTGGGTGTTCGTGTGGAGGCACATGTCTCGTACCTCTTCCAGGGCCGACTCCCCAGGACGACGCCGGGATGGCTGGGCTGGTCCGGGCGTCGTGGTCCTCCATGAAGCTGGGACTGTCTGGGTCGCCGTCCGAGCGCGCCTTTGGAAGTGTTCGCCAGAGCAGATACGTCTGGCGAGTTCGGACGAGGAGTACGGATTGCAGCTTTCCCAGGATCCCAGGTGGCAGGAGTTACTGCAGCAAGCCAGGACTCGTCGGGCCTCGGCCGTGGATGTCCAACGAGAGGGGGCCCCGCCAGAAGACGCCTGGGACCGACCTCTGGGTCAAGAAGAGGATTCGGCCCCTCGTGTTGCGGGCCCTCCGGGCCCCGAGCCGGGTGGGCCAGAGGCCCCGGTCCGTCGCGAGAACCCCTCGGTCCCGGGGCCTCCGTCAGGCACGATTCGGGTGGCTGCCTCCCGGGCCTCTCGGGCCGGGTCCGAGCTGGGGCAAGAGTCTCACGCGGGTTCTGACGTTGCACAGGCTGGCAGCATCCGCACCAGACTCCCATCGATTGCCGAGAGCGAACCATCGACGGGAGATTTGTCCAGAGAGGTGACGCCGGGGAGGGAGGAAGGAAACCCTAGTCCCTCTGCCGATGCTGCTGCTCCTTTGTCTTCCCCTCTCCCGCCTGCTGCCTCTCCTCCCCCTGTTTCCCCTCTCTCGCCTTCCCCCGAACCTCCTCAGGCCACGGCGGGCCCGGCACCTCGGCCCCGAAGGGTGCTGACTCAGCCGGAGGACACGCCTTGGTGTATCCGCGCCCGGGCCGAGGCAGCCCGAGCCTCCAGCTCGCCGCCAGAGTTCAAGCGGGCGAAGCTGGAGTCGGCCGACATGTCGTCGCCGTCGTCTCCGTCCGCCCCTCCGGTCTCCAGTGGTTGTGGTGGTCCTTCTCTCTCTCCTCCTCCGGGCCTCCCCGCTCCGTCTCCTTCCCCAGGGCCAGGACCCGGGACCAGGATCACCACCGGCTCCGAGCCGCGCGTGTCGGTCGCCGATAGAGTCCAGGAGATCGAGGCCGGACGGGCTCGTGCCAGGTCACGCTCCCCCTTGAGAAATGATGGTTTTTCCGAAGGAGTGTTTTGGGTGGTTCCCGGGGCCGACAGCGTCGCCATCGTCCCGGCTGAGCAGCAGGAGCCGACGAGAGCCGAGGAACCAGACGGCGGCGTCTTCGCCGCGAGCCGGGGCGGCGAGGTCTCGCTGAGAAATCTCTCTCCCGCCGACCGGGCCAAGTTTGAAGCGTCCGATGCTAAGGAGTGGGAGGCCATGAAGGCGACAGGTGCGGTAGAGGTGGTGGCCCCGAGCAAGGCACGAGTCATCCGTCGTGAGCAGCCAGACCGCATTATCTCGAGCCGGATGGTCCGCCGCTGGAAGCCCCAGGAGGGCACCTTTGCCGCCCCTGACGCCAAGTCGAGGTGGTGCGTCCACGGGCATAAGGACCCGGACTCCGGAGCCCTCGAAGTATATGCCCCCACTCCTCAGACGTCGTCTATCATGATGTTTGTCCAGATAGCCATGAACTTGGGTCTTCTATGTGATATCGCCGATGTCAAGAATGCTTTCTGTCAATCTGACAGAATGCATCGAGCACAGGGCGAAATCTACGTAGAGCCCTGTGAGGGGATCGTGCTGGAGCGCGGTTCCCTGATTAGGCTTTTGGTCAATGTCTACGGTTTAGACGATGCCCCTATGGCCTGGAGGCGTACCGTTGTCAAGTATTTGGAGGCCCATGGGTTCGTGAGGTCCCTGCTGGAGCCCTGCTGGTGGATGCGCTACGATGACAAGGGGCGCATCGCCAACATGATGCTGCTCGAAGTAGATGACTTCTTCATCGGAAACTCAGACCAGGTCTCCCGGGACTGGCTCAGGGGGGTCCTGGAGTCCAGGTTCAAGTTCGGGAAGTACCGGGATTGCCAGGCGGGTGCGGTGGATTTTGCAGGCCGAAGGATCACCGTCTCCCCAGACAAGGCAGTGATCGACATGGAGAAGTACATTTTAGAAGAGATCCGCCCTCTGTCCATGTCCAAGGGGCGCCTGGCTCGCAAGGATTCCCCACTGGAACCTCATGAGTTCAAGGCACTGCGGTCGCTCGTATACAAGTTTAACTGGTTGGGCCGTGAGGTCCGACCCGAAGCCGCAGGTGTAGCCAGCATCCTGGCCAGCAAGCTGAACCAGGCCAGGACCGGAGATGTGATCACGGCCAACAAGTTGGCTCGCCATCTGCGCTCTACAGCTTCCAGGGGACTCACTGTGTGGCGACTCGACCCGGACAGGATGGCCTTTTTCTCTTTCTCGGACGCCGGTGGCATTGGCTCCACCGACGGCCTGGATGACGAGCGTGGGCTGCCGGTCGATCCCACACAGGGAGCTTGGATGGTCCTGGCGGCCGATCGATCTGTGTTGGACAACCGTGCCGTCCGGGCTTCGATTCTGGGTTGGAGGTCATCCAAGCTAAGACGAAAAGTGCCATCTACTCTGGCGGGAGAGACGCAGGCTTTGTCCGCAGCAGTTGCAGAAGTTGAGTTTCTACAGATCATGTATCGGGACATGGTCTTCCACGATGTGGACACTCCTGACTGTCGTCGGGCCTCAGGACCATTCACAACCGTGCTGCGACGAGACTGCTCCCTCGGATCCCGCGAGAAGCAGGTGCACGTGGTCGACGCCAAGTCGATCTACGATACGATGCAGAAAGAGGGCAATGCGTGTGCGCGGGACAGGCGCACGGCCATTGACCTCGCCATTATCTGTGAGTCCCTGGAGCGAGCTCGTGGCCATGTCCGTTGGGTCCCACACGGGCGGATGCCGGTGGATGCTCTCACCAAAGAGGATGTCACGAAGTGCAATGCCGCGTTGTTCGACTTAATGTCCCACGGTCGCCTGATCCTGGTCGACGAGAGCTCAGAAGTGGCGAGACGCCGCTCCGAGCCGCAGCTCAAGAGTCGATCACAAGCAGCTTCGAGGGAAGAACTTGCCCGAGAGTCTCAGCCCACCTGGATCCAGTTCCTGTCGGGGAGTCCTGCTGGTGGTGGTAGTGGTGGTGGTGTCGGTCCTCCTCCTCCTCCTCCTCCTCCTCCTCCTCTCTCCCCAGCTGAATCATCTATGCGCAGCTTGCCCTTGCCATCTCCGCTCTTCCAGTAATCTTTTCTCGTGTACAGTTTCTGTCCTTTCATATCCCCTCTCCGTTCAGGTAGAGAAGGGGGCCGTTCCAGCACAGGAACGGATAATTGCTTCTAGTTGAGCCCCAAGAGGGTGCTAAACCTAGGAGAAGTCGGACGGGTGTGACTGATCTCCAGAATTTGCGTATTAGGTTTAGCATTTGAGATCTTTACCTTGATAGTCCTACCGAGTTGCAGCGTGTGCTCGGTGTACTGTTACCCTCTATGGCTCAAGCCCAAAAACGTTCATCCAATCCTGTGCTGCCACAAAGTGCCACGCCTGCCAGGCTTTGTGACAATGTCGTGTATAGCGGCCGCGCTGAGAGACCACCCCCTGCGCACCCCCTATAGTGTCCAGAAGATGCCACCCCTGCTAGGTTTTGCGACAACGTCGTGGATAGCGGCCGCGCTGAGAGACCACCTGCTGCGCACCCCCTCTGGTGTCCAGAGGAGCTGTGCTGTGCCGTGCAGTGCTGAGCTGTGCTGTGCTGAAGTGCTGTGCTGTGCAGTGCTGTGTTGAGCTGTGCTGTGCTGAGATGAGCCGTGCTGTGCTGAGCCGTGCTGTGCTGTGCTGAGCAGTGCTGTGCTGTCCTGTGTACGTGCGTTGTGTCAATGTGTTGTGTGCTGAGCTGTGCTGTGTTGTGTTCTGCTGCGCGGGGGTGCGCTGTGCTGTGGGAGAAGGAGAAGGAGAAGGATGAGAAGGAGGAGGAGGAGGAGGAGGAGGAGGAGGGGGAGTGGAGATGAGTGAACGTCGCGGGTGCGCGTGCGTGTGCGCGTGCCGTGCTGCGTTGCGCTGTGCTGTGCGAGAAAAAAAAGAAAACGGGGAAGGTGAGTGCGCGAATTTGTCTGATGCGTGCGTGCGTGCACGTGTGCGGGCGGAGGTGAGGAGGAGAGGGTGTGACTGAGGAGCGCGGGCGACGCGGGTGAGAGGAAAACCGAAACCGCACGAAACATGTGGGAATGGATGTCAACGTGGATTTGTATGTACGGTTGTCTTACCATGGTCTATATTTGTCACGTGTTGCACGTAATTGTTCTGTTGTTTGCAAAAAACAGAAGCCAACGTTTGTTCTGGGTGTGCCGCGTGCGCCGGCAATCGCATTCTGCCAACGCGATCACATGCCAAACGATATAACGGCACTTTGCGTTGCATTATTTTTGCTTGCGTAATTTTAGCGACATTCGGTTTGCATCCTTTTGCGATCAAAGCGATTTTATTTTGCGTATGTTATGTGTCGATTTTGGGTGTTCAAGATTATGCCAGAAAATGCGCCTAAGAATGCAAAAGGAATGCTCGCGCGGTTGCTGACCAATGAAATACGCAAAAAAATGCGCCGCCTTCCCCTTCCATTCTTTACGCCGCCCAGAGGACGTCCCGCAGTCTTTCCCGCATTCATTCTCGCATTCGTTTTCGGAATAATAATTCGGGTCCCACATGCCCAGTGCGCTCCGAGGAGTGGAATGCAAAATTTAGGATAGTACTGGCCAAGATAGACGCGCATTCAGCCGCGTCGGGTCCAGATTCTCCGGCAAAGCATTGCACCTGGGCGACCACGGCTTTGCTGGGCGCCACCTCGGATGGGCTCAGGAGCGAATCGGGGGGGGCCCGACGAGATCAATCAAGCGGCAGCACCTTCAGTTGCCCAAAGATGTCCTCTTCTTGATCGCTCGTGACATGGTCTCGATGCTGCATTAGGTGGAGGCCCGCGTAGTCAGCCGCGCCGACTTGCCACTACCCGAACTTGAAAGGCGCGGTGACCCGCTCCTTCAAAAGCTCTCCTGGAAAATAGCCCGGCCGGCAGCGATCACATCGTCAACGCCGCCAGCATCGACCACCGCGAAGCCCGCGAGCCCGCGGTCGCGCTTAATCCAGAAGCAGGGATCGAGCATGGATCGGACGAGTCCTCCGGACGCGAGTCAACAGGGGGCGTCGTTGGGCCCATAGACGGGGGCCAAGAGTTCTATGGGGCGATCGAAGCCCGCTGGGGGGCCAGCAGCCAACGCATGTTTTGACAGAAATGCCCCCCCGGGGTCGCTCAAGCTAATGACTCTGACAGAAGGCGTTTTTGGCGTCGGCTATAGCCAGGGCCCAGCCCGTAGAGCCGACGACCTGGAGAGAGAGAGAGAGAGAGAGAGAGAGAGAGAGAAAACAACAAAAAAACGCTTTCCGACTGGGCCGACTGGGGCATTTGACTGTGCACTTCCAGGGTCTCGCTGCCTGGATCTTGATGGCCGTGAACGCACCAGCGAGACTTCGGGCCTGTGCGGGGCCCGGGCCCCTCGACTGGCTTCTGTCGATGCGCCGCGCGGGGGGGGCAAGACCCTGTCATGGAAACGGCGGCGCGTCAGCCTGGACTCTGCAGACTGCAGAGGACAGCACCTTCGCAGCGCCAGCCGCCAGCACGGCGTCACATCCCCCAACGTCGGCGGCCGCAAATCGGGCTCGACCTTCGGGGGAGAGAGCCTTAAGACGGACCTCGGCCCCCCGGGGATTGGGGCGCTTCCCAGGACCGCCGGAGCGAGGCGAGGCAGAGCTGTCCCCGCCGCCATCGTCGATCGGACTGTTCGGCAAGGAAAGATGCGAAGCCGGCCCCCCAGGACCAAGCGGACCGCTCGCGCAGCTCCAGCATCGGAAAGTCGCCTTGGCCCTCGTCCTCGGAGCCCCACGGATCCTCACCCCCGCCAGCCCTCTGCGACTTCGCCGGCGAGTTCTGCGGGGCGGCCCTGCTCGCCACTAGGAGATCTACTTCCAGGTCGATCGCCCGCTGGAGCGTGGCCGAAGCTGGCCAGCCCCTGCCCGGAAGCCTGGCCCTGGGCACGGAGGCGCCGCGGCCGGCGCCGGCCCGCCGAGCGGCGGGCAGGGGGACAGCAGCTGCCCGGGCGGACTGCCCCGCAGAAGCGGCAGCTGGCTCCTGTCGGGGCGGGCGGAGAGGCCGACGCAGGAGTCATCTCCCCCCCTCAATTCTCCCGGACGCGCTCGCGGACCGAGAGCGAAGCATCGGCGAGCTCCTGGACGAGGGCCGTGCGGGGGTGCCTGGGGTCGAGGGCTTCGGGGCTCCGGGCATCCGCTGGCGGGCATGGCCTCCGACCTGGGCTCTCCATCCAGGGGTGGCCCGGCGGGCCCCCCGGCCCCTGGGCGCTGACTCGACGAGAGGCGGCCTCGATAAGCGGGGCGCGAGTGCCCGCTGAGATTTGCCTGCCCGGTGAAGGGGAAGCAGGGGGAGCGCCCCCCTTGTCGACCTCTTGTTTCGGGCCCCCGTCCGCTTCTCCCCCCTCGTACCTCGTCGGCCCCGCCAGCGGGCGGAACGGCCCATTGTCGGCACGGCCCCCTCCCGCGGCGCCATGCGGCACCCGCGGGAGGGGGCCAATGGCAGCACCGACAACGAGGACAGAGCGATCGAGCGAGGGGGAGTGAGGCTCGGGTTCAGGGGCGGCCTCGCGGGCAGCGACCTCGCCGACAGCCCTCCCGGGTGTTCCAGTGCCGCTAGTGGAGCGTCAAACGCCGCGGGAGGGCGGGGGGGCCCCGCCCCGCGGCCGCGTCGATGGCCGCGCTTCTTTTGCCTGCTGGCGGATGTCCTCTGCGGGCTTCCCGACGGCGAGAAGCGCGGCCCCCGGCGACTCGGACCTGGTGGCGGGGCAAACCTGCTCAGCCGCATGGCCGCCCAGCCCCGTTCCCCCCCTGCTACACCCGGGGCCCCTGGCCCGATGTATGACCACCCCTGGGACGATCCAGCAGTCGCGCTGGAGCGAGTGCGAGCGATTGGCGGCGGCGATGCGACTTTGCGTGCGCGCCCAATCATCTGGGCGAAACTGGCGATCGCTGTGCAGTCGGGCCTCCGAAGCCTCAGACAGCCTGGGCCTCGCGCCCAGTGTCAGAAGCGCTCGCCTGGCTTACAATCTCCTATATTGTGCTGCCCGGCGAACGCTCCAGCAGAGGAGTCGAGGCCCGCCGCCAACGGGGCCGCATCTTCGATTCTGATGAGATCGAGGGGGTCGCTGGGCAGGAGAGGCCGAGGAATGCGGGGTTCTGACCAAAGACGAGTTGGGAGGGGGATGTCTGCCACGGTGAGAGCCATGATTTTTAGCAGCTATGACCTGACACGAAAGAAGGTCCGTCTCCTGAGAAATGCCAGGGCTCACGGCCAACGGCCTCTGACAGGGCGTCCTTGACGAAGCCCCGCGGCGCTCGCACCTACCATTCTGGTGACGGGAATTGAGCGGGATGGCATGATGCAAGATACAAATTCGCTCGCGACCCCAGGCAAACGGCCCCTCGAATTCCCCTCCCTCATCAGTTATCAACACCTCCGAGGAGCCAAACGGACGTATCCATCTCGGTAGAAGCGTGGGCTGGACGGCCTTGGCCGCGTCGTTTGGGAGAGCGCAGCGCTGCTGGAAGGAGGTACCGTGCTCTATCACGTTGAGGACGGGGGCGGGCTTACCCTGCGCGTCGACATAGAACAAATCCAGAGCCACCATTTTGTTGAATGCGCGCGGGTGGAGAAGGTGGAACTTGCCCCACCAGCTCGCCCACCGATGAGACGGGCGAGAGACACACTTGACATGGTCGCGAACCCAAGCCGAAGCCTCAGGTCGAGCACCCCCCGCCCGAAGCGCCCAGAGAAAATCCCCGCTCTCGAGGTGTCCGAGATTCGCGTGCAGGCGGGCACCTTTCTCTTGGAGCTCGTCCGACAAACCTGCAGGCTGGGAACCTGGGACCAGAAACTGAACACAGGGGGGCGTCGGATTCGGCCCCGGGGGTTCTGGGGCCCAGGTCCCCGACGCCTGGGGGGAGAACCGAAACGGGCCGGCGAAAAGGCCGAGCGGTGTCTTCAACGCCCGTCGCAAGGCTCACCGCCAGCAACTTTGGATATTTCTCCGCCGCGCGAGTCCTGGCTCGGCCGGCTGGATGGGCGCGGGGGCGGTCGACGGAGCGCCGCCTCTGGCAGTGGGCAAGGGGGGGGGGGGGAGTTGGAGACGATAGAAGTCGGTTTCTTGGACAGGCCCGCCCCATCAACGGACAACCCGTGCATGCGCTGATCCAGAGTTTCCTTCCTGACTCCTGGCGCCTCCCAAACTTGGCGAGTCGACTCGAGTTGCCAGGACCTGGTGTTCAAGAGCAAAGAAACGACATTGACGCTCGGCTATGTCTTTACAGAGCTGGAACGCGGCGGGTCCTCGTTCCTCTTCCCAGACCTCAAAATTGAGATTCATCCGCCCGCGGTTGGAGGCCCAAATCGCGGAGAAGTTTTGCTCGTAGGCGCCGTGGTCGCGACGAGGGGGGGCCTCTTCCTCGAGTTGATTCCAGGGCCTGGCCTCCCCAACTCCGAGGGTAGGTCGATTGACTTCTAAGGCAATGGCCCCTCCTCGAGCGTTCTCCTCGAGCCGGATGACCTCGCGGCGGGTTCGACGGCGCGTCCTGGGCACGGATCGCGCAGGGCCCGCGCGGTGGCTTTGCGGGCCCCTTCGAGGGCCGCCGCCGAAAAGCTGCCTTCCTCCATCACATGGACCCCCCTGCCTTTCTTTCTTTCAAGATGCTTTTCGCACCTGGGCGTGACCTGCAGCTCGCCGAGCGCAACGGAGCCTGCCGCGTCGATGATCTCACAGGGCCCTGCAAGGACCCGCAGGCCAGAGAAGAACAACTGGCCCCGTCATCCTTGATGCCCACCCACCGGAGATGGGCGGGGGCGGGGGCAAGGGCCCCGCGGGGCGAGGGCCGCGAACAACTCTCGCTACCCCGCACAGCTCAGGGCCAAGGGGGCCCGCCGCCGACGTCGGCAAAGCTCGGGCCCGGTCAGGGCCCGGTCGGCTTCCCCATCTCAGGATCATCAAACTTGTCAGGGCCTCCTCCTGAAACGTTCTCTGCCCCAGAAACGGGCCATTATGGCCCCGATGTCCCCCGTGAATGCGACCCTGAGAAACCCGGCCTCGGCTCATAGCTTCTGCGAGAGGACCCGGTCTGAATCCGCCTCGATCCCGAAGTCGCTCAGCCTTTGACTGCTTCTGCCACTGGGCTAGGAGAGCCCCCAGCTGCACGTTGACCGCCGGGCCCTGCGCCGCCGAGGCTGGGCGCCGGATGTCAGTCGGCCAGGGGGCGCGAGGTCGCCCACTGGATCGTCTGGCTGACCCGCTCGCGCTGCTCGGCCATTATGCTGGTCAGCGTGGCGCAGGAGGGCTCGCTGGCCCCCCGCTGGCTCGAGATGTCGGTGCGCGTCGCGGCGAGGGCCTGCTGCGTCTCGAGGGCAGTCGCGGGGCGCGCAGGGGAGGAGGTCTCGACCGCTGTCGGAGGCGCCAGAGCCGTCCTGGGGTCTGCCTTCGGCGGAGGGCCCCCCCTAAGGGGCGCCTGGGCTCGCGCGTTGTCCGCCCCGTACTTGACCGCGAAGTGCTAGCGATCCTCCTCGACCCTCGCCGCGGCGGCCGGCGCCGGCGGGCCCGGGGCTGGCGGGGCCGCCTGCCTCGAGCTGCCACGCCAGATCCCCCTTGGCCAAGGGGCCCCGCGAATCCTTCTTGTTGAAATCCATCGCCTGCGCCTTGGCCTCGCCCTTCGCAGCCCGGATGTGGGCCCGCGCGCTCTCCTGCTCGGCATGGGCCATATCGTTCCTGACCTTCTGGTTGGCCCTCTCGATCTTCTCCTCAGCAGAGAACGGCCGGCACCGGATGCGCGCCATGCGCGCCGTGCACAGGGCGTTCTCGACGCGCCGGTTGTCCGACCCCCCCATCGATTGCGGAAGGCGGGGGCAGTCCTCGGGCGCGGCCGCGTCGGCGGGGCCCGCGGGCTTGGCATCGTGAAAGTGGCCATCGCCATCTGCGCGCAGGTAGTCGCACGCCAGATCACCCTGACCACGACGCGCACCCAGCGGCGCGCGAGCTCCGGCAGCGAGAGGCGGCCGTCGTAGGAGTTCTCCTCGTCCGTGGCCGACGTGGCCTCGAACTCGAGAGTCGCGTCGAGCTCTGGATCATCTTGGCGCTTTTGCTCCATGATCTTCTCCCAGTCTAGGCCCATCGCGTCGCGGGGCGGGCCTGGTCGCGACGCCTCCGCGGTCGCGGCGCGCGCCCCTGCCAGATCGAGGCCCGCCTTCTCGAGCGCGGGGCGGCCCCCCCGCGGCGACCTGCGGATCGAGGCCAGAGGCTTGGACGCCGATGGGGCTCTTCCTCGTCTCGCATGCGCTGGTCTGAGCTGGGGCGCAGTCCGACCGACCGAGCACTGAGCCAGAGAGGCTCCGTTGGGCCCGCTGGTGCACCCCCTGTCCTGGAATCCACTGGGTAGAGGGGAGGGGCAAGGGCCGCGGGCGCGCGAGAGGCGAGATACAACGGGACTGAAGCGGGATGGCGGATCTTCAGGGAGCTGACCCTGGACAAGCGCTTCCCGATCTCCGGCGAGAACTGAACTGCCCGGGCGGGCGCTGCGCCAGGTCCGCGGAGCGGTGGCTGGACGGGCGCGGCACCGTCGGCGCGCGTGCTTACCGAGCGAGGGCTTCGTCAGCAAGGATCATCGCGTTGCCCGCCAGGAAGATCGCGCTCTCGAAGTGCGCCGGGAATTTGTCGAGAAGCGCGGTCCTGGAGGGATGCATCTAAGATTTCGACATCTTCCTCGCCGATGGGCGCCCGAGCCGCGGCGGTGTCCATGAGGGCGTGCGCCCCCGTGTCCTTTGCCGACAGATAGATCGAGGCGTGCTCCTCCTGGAAGGTGAGCAACTCGCGCAGCCTGACGTTCTCTTCGACTGTCACGCTGGAGAACGCGTCATCTTCGTCGTTCATGTAGAAGACACCGAAGCCGGACAACCTCCTGTCCTGGCCCTTCTCATTCGCGATCTGGTCGGCATTCGCCGCGCGTGGGTACTTGCAGTCCTGGGCCAAGTGTCCGCGCTGACCACAGTTGGCGCGGCGCGTGCGGCGACGGACGCCCCGCTCCCCGATCTTCTTGAAGCTTGGCCGCGCCACCTTGAACAGGTCGGGAAAGTCGCAGTCCATCCTCTTCGCGGCCTTCAGTTTCCCAGATTCGGTCCAAGTGCGCCTTCTCTCCTTGCCAAAATTCTCCTCGATGGCCCCGGCGAAGACCTGGGTGGCTTCTTCCTCCTCGAGTCCCTGCTCCTCTATCGCTGGCAAGAAGGCTCCGACCTCCTCCTCGGCTAGTTGCACGTCGCCGTCGTCGTCCGACTCGGCGTCCTCGAGCATCGTCTCCACGAAAACCTTGGCCGCTGGAACCGACTACCCTGGCGGGGAGCACTCTCTGCTCTACCACGTCCATCCTCAGTAGGGCCGCGCGAATGGATGCCGAGTCCGTCTTGCCCTGAGTGAGCGTGCGCAAAGTCGCCTTGTTCTGGGCTGGGAGGTTCGCGCCCTCCTCGAAGTACCTCACCTTGACATTGTCGGGGAGCGGGGGGCCGTGTACTTCGGCGTCCAAGAGCTGCTGACCCCGTCGCGGGATAAGCTCGGCTACAGACACCCCGCGGCGGATCATGTAGTCAAACAGCGCAGGCGTAAGATAGGCTCTCGCGCTCGCGGTCCCCGGGTCGCTCGACATTCAAGATGGCCACGTGGGCTAGAACGCTTCTTCGCGCCATCGGGCTCGGAGAAGGGCGCGGCGATTTGCTTGAACTTCAGCTGCTCTTCGACGGGCAACGACTCAGCTGGGCGATGGGGACTGAGAGTCAAGAAGTCATTCGCTTCGACCAAGCAGTGACGCTGAGGCGATACAGCTCGAGATGCTCCATGCCAAGCCACTGCGGGGGAGGGCCGTAGTCCTGGGTGCAGGTGGTGAAGACAACCCACGCCCCTGTCGACTGCCATTCGGAGTCAAGCCACCCGCCCCTGTCCCAGTCCCATCCCGAGTGTTGCCACCACTCTTGAGAATCCTGGTCCCACCAGTTCCAGCCTCTGGGCCAGCCTCGAAAGTCCCAAGTATCGAAGTTGTAAGCCACTTGCGGCGTCGGCGCCGGTACATCCTCGGAGGAAGTCGAACTCACTTCCGTCGTCTGGTCCCCTCGTAGTCCGTCGTCACTCTCCACCTGGTCCTCGAGCCACCTCCGTTTACCACGGACAGTGGGCTTGGGAACCACAGAGGACACGGGGGAAAGGCTACAGTATGAGAGCCTTTTGCAATACTCTAAGGAGGCTGCTCGCTCGACCGTGAATCTAAGCCTATAAGCGGCGGGGCAACGAACAGGGATGCAGAGGACAATGGGAAGAGAGAGAAAGGAGCACGAGGATATCCCAAAAGGACCCAGGAAGGGCGGAATGGGACACAAACTCTCATGCTCCGCGCGCTGGAGTGTGGGGGGGGAGGAAGAGGGAATGATAGACTGAAGAGGATGAAGGGGTGAAACGTGGGGGAGGCGGAACAGCATGATGCTGTCCTCGAGGGGGAGGAGGAACAGGAGAAGGAGGAGGAAGGAGGGAGGAGGGAGAACGGAGGAGGGAGGAGGGGGAGAAGGGAAATGGGAGGAGGAAGGAGGGAAGAAGGAGGAGGAAGGAGGAGGAAGGAGGATGAGGATGAGGATGAGGATGAGGATGAGGATGAGGATGAGGATGAGGATGATGATGATGATGGTGATGAGGAGGAGGAGGAGAAGAAGGAAGATGAGAAGGAGGAGGAGGAGGAGGAGGAGGATGGGGGAGGAGGTGGAGGAGGAGGAGGAGGAAGAGGAGGAGGAGGTGGTGGAGGTGGTGGAGGAGGTGGAGGAGGAGGAGGAAAGGGAGGATGACCGATAAGACGTAAAGGAGGAGGAGGAGGAGGAGAAGAAAGAGGAGGATGAGGATGAGGATGAAGATGATGATGATGAGGAGGAGGAAAAGGAGGAGGACGTCGACGAGGAGGAGCGCGAGAGGTCTGTGTGCTCTGGGCCCAGCCGTGACCAGCGCAGCCCCCGCGCGGGCGGGGCTCTCCGTTGCGAGCTCGTCCGCGGTGCGAGGGGGCCCATCCCTGCCGGACGGAACGGGGAGTGGGGGAGGAAGCATCGGCACGAACAGGAGAAATCACTGGATGAGGGAAGGGTGAGAAGGGATGATCAGGGGGTACGGCCATGCGAAGATCGGCAAGCTCATGGTTCCAAGCGAAGCCGGGCAAGTCCGCAGGACGAGTTCTGAGGGCGCTGCTGTGGGGGCGGCTCCAGGGATCGTTTCGAGGGTGGGGGGACGACGGGGAGAGACGAGCGGGGGGGAGTAGAAAGGATGATGATGAAGAGGATCGCTGCGGAGCGGTAGAATGCCAGGTGCTGTCTGTGAGGGTCTCTGTGCTCTTCTGGGGGACTTCCCTCTCCCTCCTCCTCCTCCTCCTCCTCCTCCTCCTCTTCCTCCCCCCTCCTCCTCCTCCCCCCTCCTCCTCCTCCTCCTCCCTCCTCCTCCTCCTCCTCCTCCTCCTCCTCCTCCTCCTCCTCCTCCTCCTCCTCCTCCTCCGCTCATCACACAGCTCTGAGTGAATCGCCGCTCCCCACCTTCCCCCCCGGGCGGTTCCTGCGCGCCCCGACGCATCCCCGGCACTCTCCAGGGCGCCCGAGACGGCCAAGAGGACTCGACAGATGGCTGGCCGAGGCAGACCGCCAAGGCCGCCAAGATGGCCCAATCCTGGGCCACGCTAACGGCGATGTTGCTCAACGGTGGTGGTGGTGGTGGGAACCGATGTATCGGAAATCACGAGCTACACTTTCCCACATCTCCAATCTGCGAGCGCATCGAACGAAACCGGCACAGCGAATGACAGGAAAGCACGAGCCACGCATTCCCACAATACCGAAACCTGCATCGCCGTTACCTATTTCGCCGTTAGCGTGTCTGCGGCCAATGTACCTTCAATGCGACTCAAGCTGGCCCCAAGACAGCTCCATACGGCGTCAAGACAACCCCCAGAGCACCCAACACAGCTTCAAGAGGAACCCCAGGAGGGTCCAAAGATATCAAATCAGAAGTCCCCCACCATTTGTCGTATATTTTCGTGTTCTCACTTACCCGGGCCTGCGCTAGCCCAACAGCATCGGATGATGGGCTATAGTTTCTCGCCTTTACGGGGCTCCACCAGCCCAAGACGGCCAGTAAGACAGCCCAATGAGGCCTCAAGACTGCCCAAGCAACTCCCAATACGACCCTTGAGGGCCTCTCGAGGGCCTCTCGACGGCCCAGAGAAGTTCCTCAACCAAATTTCGAAGACGCCATGCTTCCCAGGAGCGCCCTAAGACTGCCCAAGGAGCCGCAAAATGGCCCCAAAGAGGGGAGAGGGAAAGAAGAGGAAGAGAAGAACACGACGACGAACACGAGGAGAGACACCTCGACACAACGCGGATTGGTGTATGAGATGTTGCGGTGCACCGAACCGTCGGGACACGAGGTGTTACACGATACGGCTTCCTGCGCGTTCCTCGAATAACTGCCGCCCATGTTGCTGGGCTCACAAAGTGGCAGGACTTGCCGCACACAGCTGTGCATTCGGAACATTCACTTTCCTTAACTCCCTGATCCACCTTCCCCAGCCGCTGCCCCTCCCTCCTCCTCCTCCTGGTAATGTTCGTTGTTTCACGTATCCCTTCTCGTCGCCCAACTCGTCCTCGTCCTCGTCCTCGTCCTTCTTGATGGGAAAGAAGAAAGAGGATGGAGGAGGAAGGATGGGAGGACATCTGGACAAGGACGATGGATGCAGTGTGGAGGGTGAACAAAGGGGCGTGTGGAAAAGGACGGACTTATTTCCAGCGCGGAGGTCCCCCAGGTGCATTGGCAATTTCATCTAGGAGCATCTGACATGCGAGAAGGATTAAGCGTGAGTGATACTGAGTGCCGGTGAGTCCGACACTGCTCCACGTAGACCTCCGGTCGCGCAGCCAGCCAGGGCATCTGAACACACACGAGTCCGAAACGAAGCGAGCCTGAATAATACCCTACCCCTCCCACCTCCAGCCCCCTCCCCTCCGCTCTTCCCCCTCCCCCGCTCCCGCCCCCCTCCCTCCTCCCCCCTCCCACCTCCCTCCTATCTCCCTGTCCCTCTACAATTACTCAATATGAATATACTCTCCCTCTTCCCCTGATGGCGTCCAGGTGATGGCCGCGCACCCTCCGCGTACTGTTTTCTTACACACAGGATGCCCGGGAAATCCCGGGAAACGACTCTCGCTGAGGCGCCGGCGTCACTTTTTCCCAAAATGCTGCTCTCGTTGAGGCGCCGGCCTCATTTCTGCTCCCGAATCGTTCCGAATCGTGCTCCCGCTGCAGCGTGGGCCTCATTTTCGGATCGGTGCTTGGCCTCCGTCGTTCAGGACGGCGTTCTCGCCCCAGCGCGGGCCTTATTCTCGCGCGCCCATCCGCCCGCCACCACCGCGCCGCACCGCCACCACCACCACCACCACCACCACCACCACCACCACCAACAACAACAACAACAACAACAACAACAACAACAACAACAACAACACCACCACAACCACCACCACCACCACCACCACCAGAACCAGCACCAGTACCAACACCACCACCACCAGCACCACCACCACCACCAGCACCACCACCACCACCATCACCACCACCACCACCACCACCACCACCACAACCACCACCAGCACCAGCACCAGTACACCACCACCACCAACCACCACCACCACCACCACCACCACCACCACCACCACCACCACCACCACCACGACAACCACGCACACACGCAGGCACGCACGCACGTGCACCACCACCCACTACGCACGCGCGCGCGGAGCCACGGGTCCGCTACGACACGCGTCCGCGGATAGAGAAAATCAGCGCCATGGTAAGGGATGGGAGGGAGGGGTAGGACGTCGGATATGACGCGAGCGCACCTAGCTTGCCCCTCCCCGCTCCGTCCCTCCCTCCTCCGGCGGGGCGGGATCGGCGGAGGAGGGGGAATATGGGAGAGTGGTGGGGGAGGAAGGGATGCATGGGCAGTGGAGGCGAAGTCGGGGAGGCGGAACGTGAAGGAAGCGTGGATGGTGCGGGTGGAGGGGGGGCGGAGGGGGACAGGGAGGGGGAAGGGCAAAGTTGAGGGGAAAAGGGGGAGTGCATGGTCCCGTCCAGTCGTCGTCATCATCGTCGTCGTCATCGTCGTCGTCGTCGTCGTCGTCGCCGTCGCCGTCGTCGTCGCCGTCGTCCGTCGCCGTCGCCGTCGTCCGTCGTCCGTCGTCCGTCGCCGTCGTCCGTCGTCCGTCGTCCGTCGTCCGTCGTCCGTCGTCCGTCGGCGTCGGCGTCGTCCGTCGTCGGCGTCGTCGTCCGTCGTCGTCGTCGCCCGTCGTCGTCGTCGTCGCCGTCGTCGGCGTCACGTGCCCGAGTCCAGGCCAGCCTGCCATGGCCCACGCCGTCTGCCGAGCAACCTCGGTGGCAAGGGCTCCTCAGAGCCGCTGGGCTCCGAGCTCCACCGCGGCAGACCTGCTCGACGATGCAAATCTGGGCACCCGTGCCCTTCGTCCCCCTCGCGGCTGCGCTGTCTCTCCAGCGCGGGAGCGCGCGGGGGGGGGGGTAGAACGAGCGGTGCGGGAGTGGGGGGGGCGGAAGATGGGAAGCAGGAGAGGCGGGGCCCTCCGTCCCTTCTCCCGCTCCCTCTCTCCGCCCCCTCTACAATTACTCAATATGAAAATACTCTCCCTCTTCCCCTGATGGCGTCCGGGTGATGGCCGCGCACCCTCCGCGTACTGTTTTTTTACACACAAGATGCCCGGGAAATCCCGGGAAACGACTCTCGCTGAGGCGCCGGCGCCATTTTTTCCCAAAATGCTGCTCTCGTTGAGGCGCCGGCCTCATTTCTGCTCCCGAATCGTTCCGAATCGTGCTCCCGCTGCAGCGTGGGCCTCATTTTCGGATCGGTGTTTGGCCTCCGTCGTTCAGGATGGCGTTCTCGCCCCAGCGCGGGCCTTTTTCTCGCGCGCCCATCCGCCCGCCACCACCGCGCCGCACCGCCACCACCACCACCACCACCACCACCACCACCACCACCACCACCACCACCACCACCACACCACCACCACCACCATCACCACCACCACCACCACCACCACCACCACACCACCACGACAACCACGCACACACGCACGCACGCACGCACGTGCACCACCACCCACTACGCACGCGCGCGCGGAGCCACAGGTCCGCTACGACACGCGTCCGCGGATAGAGAAAATCAGCGCCATGGTAAGGGATGGGAGGGAGGGGTAGGACGTCAGATATGACGCGAGCGCACCTAGCTTGCCTCTTCCCCCCTCCCCCTCCTCCCGCCTGCCGCCCCCCCCCCCTAAACGTGTTCGACTGGGCCGGCTTCTCTCTGTCTCTTGTTTCGTGCGCTGTCTTCTGTATATCCCCTCTCTGGGTGAGCCGAACGAGAGTGGCACGATGTTGACGAGTACGGATCACTCCCATACCAGCGCTGAGCCAGCGAGCCTGCCGCCTCCCTCCTTCCTTCCCCTTCCGCCTCCCTCTCTCCTCCCTCCCCCTCTCTCCCCCTCCCCCTCCCTCTCTCCTCCCCCCCCCTCCCCCTCCCTCTCTCCACCTTCCTCCTTTTTCACCCCCCCCCCAGACCGTCGGAGACCCCACTGGGCGGGCTTCGCCCACCCCGCCCCGCCCCCGGGGCGGCCAGAGAGAATGCCGGGCCCGCAGGTGCGCCGGCGCCCGCCTTCCCAGGCACCAGCCAACCAGCCTCCCTCCCTCCCTCGCTCCCCTCCCTCCCTCCCTCCCTCCCGTCCCTCCGTCCCCCTCCCCATCCCAGCGTTTTGTATTGCAAATGTTGAGGACGCTGTGTTTCACCATGTGCTCGGCATCTGGAGGCACGACAACATCGAAGAACACCGCGTTTTGGAGCCCTGGATCCTGAACGCGCTGCTGTGTTTTCGTTTTTTCCCCCAGCATTCGACGCAAACAACATGGAGCACATAGCAGTTTTCACAATTTTCATGGATTTCACGTTTGCCCTTTATCCCCATGGCTTCCAACAAAAGGAATCAATGTGTAATTTGCCA